GAGAACAGCCTAGGAAAAGTCCAGAGGTGAAAATGAGACCCTGAGGCCTTCTGTCTAGTTAGGTATGTGGCAGCCCTTCTCTGATATGGTTCTGCAAGGGTGAAGCCCTGGTGCTCCAAGGTACTTAATGGGAGAATTGACGAAACACTCACTCAAGTCAGTTTCTTCCAGTGCTCAATTCCCTTGCAGAGCCCAGCTGAGGAAGGCTAGTGTTGAGTGTTAAGCAGGAGGTGGTAACAGATAAGGCTACAGAAAATAAGCAGGAGCAGGAACAAGCAGGGTCCTGTAAGCCACATTTGTTTCCATTTTGCCATAAAGAAATTGCAGGATTACTAAATTCATTCATTCAGTGGCTATCAAACAGTTCACACAATGAACAATAAAAATCTAAAACAATGCACAATAGATGGCATTAAACCATTAAAAAACCTCCTTCAGATTTCAATACATTCTATTTAATTTTTCTTTTCTTTTTTTTTTCAGCACTGGGGATTGAACCCAGGAGAGCTGTACCACTGAGCCACATCTCCAGACCTTTTTTGAGACAGGGTCTTGCTAAATTGCCAAGTCTGGCCTCAAACTTGTTATCCTTCTGCCTTAGCTTCCCAAGTATCTACTTAATTTTCAAACCTTAATCATTCCCTTAATAAATATTTACTTGGGCTGGGGATAGAGCTCAGTGGTAGAGTGTACACTAGTGCGTGTGCACACCCACAACAATGGAGCCTCACTGGGCACCTGCTCCCATCTCTGTGAGATAGATTCCCTGCCCTTCAGGGGCTTGAGACTCTTTGCTGAAACATCTGAAATAGCTGCACCACTCATTTTGGCATCAATCATAATCTACTTTATACTGTTATCTAATTGTATGTGCACATACATTATTTTTAGAGAAATTAACTCCCAAAGGACAGAGTTCCTATTACTATTCGTATTGCAGAGTTAAGCAAGGAAGTGAGCATAGAATAAAATCTAAAATATTTATCAGATTACTTTCTGCCAAGACATATATATATATATATTCTATGGCCCCAGGTCTTTAAACCTGGGAATAGTTTTGAGATGAGCTTATAACGTAAAATAAATGTGATGTATGGTGCACAAGACTTCAGAATTTAAAAAATTTAATTTTGCAAAATTTAATTTTGCACAATTAAAAAACAAACCTCTTCATTTCTCTCTATGTACTTCAGCACAAAAAGAGGTCATAAAAATTTAAAGAGCAGCTAAAATTATTAAGAGGAAGAACTGAAGTACAATTAAAATAGCTAATTATATCAGGCAAATGGTGATATGGGGGAAAAGTTGCAATCAGGCTGTCTGCTCAATAAGAAACCTAAGGATAATTGTGAGATCATTTTCATGGAGAGTGAGGAACAGTGGAACAGGAATACCTTCCTGGGAGGCAACTCCAGGAGACTAAAAACAGGACAGGGTAAATCTGTGGTGTCCACATGATTTCAGGGAATCTCACTGAGTGTTATCTAGTCTGATCATGAACTGTAATAGAGCTGGAGGAGGTCTCACATAATGGGGAACTAACGTAACTGAAGGATGACAGGGCTCTGCTGTTAACGTCACATGAATTTAATTTGCAAAAAGGTAGGTTAGGAAGGACAATCATAACTTTAGAAGATTACAAATGGCACATACACATTGAACCTAGATTTTTTTTTTCTCTTTGAACTTTAACATTTGGCTGTCTTTAGATACTTTAACAAGGTACCCACTTTATACTAACCATATGGGAACACATTACACAGTAGAGACGGTAGAGCAAAGTGACATGAGTTTTGGAACTCAGACTGCCTGTGTTCAAAACCTAGATCTGCCACATACCAGCTGTGTGACTTGGAGAAATTTCTTAACTCCCTTTGTCTGAGGCTTCTAAGTTGAAAGATGAAGGTAAGAGCAGGAACTCTCTCACAAAGATATGGTAAAGATTCTAATGCATGCAAAGTACTCAGAAACAAAGGGTCTGGCCCACTGTAAATTCTCATGGCTATTAATATACTTCTATAATTCTTACAAAAATCAGGAAACAAATGGATTTTTTAAAGTTTCAATATATTTAGGAATGGGAAATCAATATATAGAAGCTAATAAAACTGGGATATATCCAGGTTATATATGGTTAGTGGTATCTTAATGGGATAAACCAGCAAAGCAACGATCACTGTGTAAATTTTCAACTCTAGAAAGTATAGCTATTAGTTTTGCTATTATTTTTTCCAAAAGGTTTAAAAGAAACATGAAAAAAGAGCAAAGAGAAAGAAGAGTTAGATGTGATGTGAGTTAGGTGATATCCTCAGAAACATTATTGTAACAGGATGTGCCAAAATAGTAAAGTTGCCCTGGTTGGCTGAGTCTTCCTAGGATTTCACATCTATTTAAAAGGGTTTATTACTTCACCTTCACTTATGGCCCTTTTCCCTTCACCCAGTGTACTCTACAAAGGCCTGCTTTCAGTTCCAGTACCAGGAGGACTCTGGACTTTCTCCTGCCTCCAAGCCTTGGCAGGTTGCTTCCTCTTCTACCTGCACTACTGTGACTCTCTGATTGGCCTCCAGAGGCTACTTCTTCCTCATCCTACCTCATATCCTTATTTAAAATACCTCTGGTTATTTTCAATCTCATTATCCAGTTAGCTTCCTGCACAGCACATATCACAATTTTTATTTATTTTATGCTTGTATATGTGCTTATTTTTAATGTCTCTCACACAAACTATCTCTATGGCGGTGAACAACATCATTGTTCATTCTATCATCTTCAATGAACACACAGGACATAGTAGACACTCAAGTATCTGTTGAATGAATGAAACAATGATCCTTAAGGTCCCTTTAAATTAAAAAGTAACAGATCAAAAACATAGTGTAAAGTGAGAGACTTTTTATTTACAGATCTAGGCAGTATCTAAGTGTTGCCTCACTCTGAGCAAACTAAACAAATGGCTTCATTCCAAGGAGTTTAGTTAGAACTTGATTTATATAATCTAGCACCTTCCTCAAACTGTGCCTTTGTTAGTTTTACTTTCGAATTTGCCTTATTATTATTTTTTTCAGTGCTGGGGATTGAATTTAGGGCCTCAAGCACTCTACTACTGAGCTATACTCCTAGCCCTACCTTACTTGATTCAACAACTTCAGTCCAATAATGGGTTGGCTACCTAAAAATTATATGTAATATAAATATATATATAACAGCATCCAATCTCTCCCCAGTACAAATAATAACAATTATATAAAAATACAGATTTATGCTCCAAAACTCCAGGAAATTCTGATTTAGTACTTGAAGTATGGCTCTAGAATCCATATATTTAAAGCTTTCCTTAATTTAAATAGATAATATGTATACATAGTACAGGATTCAAACAGTAAGAAAAAGCACTTGCGGTTGCCCCCACCCTCTTCCATCAAGTTCCTCTTTCCATAAGCTGCCACTATTACCAACTTCTCCTGTATACTTCCAGATAATTATTTTCCTAAGCAAGCACATATATATCCTTTGCTTTAAACACACACATGCACATTTAAAGAACTGTTTTAATCTTAATTTTTTTCTTATCTCATTTAACAACGTATGTTGAAAATGAAGGGGTTTTGGGGCTGGGGCTGGGGCTCAGAGGTAGCACACTTGCCTGGCATGTGTGAAGCACTGGGTTCGATTCTCAGCATCGTGTAAAATAAATAAAGGTCTATCAATAACTAAAAAAAAAAAAAAGAAGAAAAGAAAATGAAAGAGTTTTGTTTGTTTGTTTTTGTTTTATTTTGTAGTGTTGGGATTGAACCCAGGGCCTTGTACATGCTAAGTGTTCTGCCACTGAGCTACATCCCAGACTGGTAACTATATTTTTTACAAGCACTGTAGATGATTCTGATGTGAAGCCAAATATAGAAACCACTCACTAGCCTAGAGTTGAGGGATTAAGTTCAACTCACTATGACACATTAGAAACTCAAGGACATTGAAAAGATGCAAGTAGTCATACTTTCCTGACCTCTGCCCCCTTGCCTCCCAGAGATAAACCAAATCTTTCTCCAATGTCTTCATAGAAACCAGGAAACACAAGCCATTTAAATGAATGTTGCCCAAAACTGTTCAATTTTCAATTCCTGAATTCCTTTCCTGCTCATTATTACCTGAAATTACAAACCTGACAATTTCTATGTGACACAAGACATTTTGATATTTGGATAGAAATGAGGTTTGATCTACACGGAAACAAGCGCTGACTTTTTCTCCCAGCATTAACACAGTTTAACGGGGCACAATTGCAATACTTTCCTTACTAATCCTTACTCATACAACAGCATCCAATCCCTCCCCAGTACAAAAGCAATTAACTTTGAAAATGCTGAGAGAAGACTGCATTGTCAGGCCGAACTTTCTGAATTCTGAAGTTCGGGCTCTTGTTAACCTGACTTGACTTCTACCCTTGGGGGAGATGGTTGGGCCCTTCTGAGCAGTTCTTGTTCTTCCTTCTCATCTACCTCAGGGATGCAGAGGGAGTTTACTTTTGGGAAGGAGGAAGGAGTTTACGGAGGGAAGGCTCTCTGAGGGCCACCCGAGAATCTCGTCCGCAGTGTCCCTTTCACCACGAGGGGCACCACGCGGGAGGCATCCTCACCTTCCCTACACCGCGCCAAGGAAAGAGGAGTGTACAGGGCTTCCAGGAGAGGAACTTGCCAGGATCTAGCTGACTTACCTCACCCCTAATCGAAGGGCCCCTGGTGGGCTGGGTTTCTTTCCAAGCCCCCAGGAATGAGTAGGGCATGACTCCCATCCCTTCTCCCTGGATCATACGCGAAGATGGGAAAATGGGGCTCTGCGAGCCCAAACCCGAGACCCATTCCTCTCCACCCCGCCTTTCCTTCCAACCTCTGGGCCCTGCGTCTCCCCCTGAGTAATGCCCACCTCTCCCCCACCATGGCCGGCTGGCGTCCTCTTGCCTGGCTCCTGCCTTCCTTCCCACCTGATCCCGGCCCCCTCACCCAGCATGATGGGGCTGAGCCGCCGGGCCAAGCCCTTGGACAGGTCGTACACGTAGAGCTTCACCGGATAGAGATTCGGCGGCTCCATTGGGACCCGTGGCGGCGGCCACGATGGCCCTCGGGCACCCGGCAGCGGCTTGGACCTTCCCGTACCCGACGGGGGTGGGGAGAGGAGGGAGCCGGGGGACCGAGCCCGGGCCCGGCCTGAGGGGCGGGGGAGAGGCCGCCCTGCGCTGCTCGCGCCCCCACACCCGCTACTGGCAACGACTACTGTGAGGTGACAGAGGGGGGGGGACTGGGAGGATCCGTACCGAAGAGGGGGCGGGACACGCATTTTCGCGCATGCGCGTACCGTCTTGACCGGGGAAGGGGCGGGGCTTAAAGGGGCGGGGCTTCCGCGCAGCATTGGCTTTAGGTAGAGACCTTCGTGGAAGCGTGGTTGTGGAAGTGGGCGTGTCAACATGACTGGCGCGCTGTGCGTGATGACGTATAAGGCGTTGATTGGGGGAGCGAACGGAAGTTAGAGCGTACGTGCTGCCCGCCTTCTGTAAAAGTTTATCTCTTCTTTGCTGCAAAGGTAGGCTGGAGGCGCTCTGAGGGTGTTACCTGCCGGCCTGGGCTTTCCTAGCCCAGTTTCATCCAGTCTCGAGCGCCCCGCTAGCCTTGAGGTGGGGCAGCGCCCACCGCCAGTGTGCAAACCTGAGGGTAGAGACAGCCTCTGGACTCCCCTTCTCCGCGGGAGGCGGCATCCGGCCTCGGAGGCCTGCGGGCGTTGGAAATTTCATTAGGCGTGTCTGGCAGAGGGGTTGGGGAAGATTTAGGGGCGGAACGGGGACGTGTGGATCTGCTAGGTAACTGAGTAACCACCGCAGTGCAAATGTGGAGCAGGAGGCGGGACCTCAAGGGTGTGCCCCACGCACGGATCTGAGCTGTTGCCACTGGCCCTAAAGCGTCCGTAAGGGATAGCTAAGGTGAAGCTGCTGGTGGAATGCCCTCCTTGTCCATTTCCCTCTGCATCCCAACGAATGAGAGCTCTCGAGCCAGGGATCCATCCTCCACATTATTAACTAGTAACTCCGAGCTTTTAGAACAGCTCTCAAAAGAGCCTAAAACTCGATATATTTTCTTTAAATTTTCTTGTTACTGATCTAAACTCATTTCACTTAGCAGAAACAATTATGTCAGGGTGGGAGTCTTACTACAAAACCGAGGGCGATGAAGAGGAGGAAGAACAAGAGGAAAGCCCGGAAGCAGGTGGTAAGTGACTTTACCATGTAATACCGTTCTGCATGTGGAAAAACGGACCTTCCCTGCCTCGTCTTCTGCAAGGACGTTGCCTTCTGATGGCCCACCGTTTTATTCCCAAATAATCCGAAATAACTTTCTCCCTTTGAGCTTTGCAGAGCTACCGTAGGCTCTTCTTTATTCTGGTTTTACTCTATGAGACATCTCTAGTTTTAAATTTTTGCTGGGCACTGGTAAATTGATACCTTTTGAGCTCCAGTAAATGACCCTATTCATGGGATCTTTTGTTATCTTACATGACTCAGGTAAGACCCTTTCTCGCCTGAATAAGGAGTTTTATTTATCTCAGAACCTCCGTGTAAAAATACCTTCACACTACAGTAACTTACACTAATGGAAGAGTAAACATTAGCAATGCAGTTTTCAAAAGAGTGATTCCTTTATGGTAGCTCCCAGGTTTGGGAGTATCTGTGTGTGTTCAAGCAACACAATATTATTCAAGTAGTGTATGCAAGCAAAACAGTAACACATAGGGCCAAGGAAGATAAATAAAGGGTACATATAATCCACTAGTTAATTTAATTCCTGGATAGAAAATGTTAGTATTTTTCAATTTCTTTAATAAACAAAATCATAGTATGGGCTGAGGAGGTGGCTCAAATGGTAGCGCACTTGCCTAGCATGCGCAGGGAGCTGGGTTCTATCCTCAGCACCACATAAAAATAAAATAAAGATGTTATGTCCACCGAGAACTAAAAACTAAAACAAACATCATAGTAAATTCATTTTTTAAATTTTTTTTCATTTTTTCCCCAAGGATGGGGATTGAACCCAGGGCCTCAGGCATGCCAGACAGCATTCTACCACTGAGCCACATCCCCAGCCCAATGTTATAGTAAATTTTGTATATGAGTTTTTCCTTTTTTTTTTCAATATTTTTTTAGTTGTTGACAGACCATTACTTTATTTATTTATCTATGTGCTGAGAATCAAACCCAGTGCCTCACACATGCTAGACAAGCCCTCTACCATTGAGCTATAAACCCAGCCCCTGTTTTTCTTTATCTTAATAAGATAGATTGCTAAAAGGTAGAATTTATCAGATCAAGGTAGAACTTTTGTTTAAGGCTTTTGACATACATTTTGTTCTCCAAAAGTGGCTAATTAAATTTATTGTATTAAACATGAGCAATGTCAAAAGGGAAGATAATTAGACAAATACCTTTTTATGCAAAAAAAAAGAAAGAAAGAAAACATCACTGTTGGGCATGGTGGCACACACCTGTAATCCCAATAACTTGGGAGACTGAGGCAGGAAGATTGAAAGTTCAAGACCAGCCTCAGCAATGTAGCAAGGCTCTAATTAACTTAGGGAGAACCTGTCTCAAAAAAAAAAAAAAGGAGTCATGCACAGTGACACTTGTAATCCTAGTGATTTTGGGAGTCTGAGGGAGGAGTATTGCAAGTTCAAAGCCAGCCTCAGTAACTTTGTGAGTCCCTGTCTCAAAATAAGAAAAAGGGCTAGAGATGTTGCTCAGTGGTTAAGCACCTCTACTGTTATATATATAAAAAAAGAACCACTTAAAAAAAATAAGCACATCACTTATGATATAGTCATGCTGAAAAAAGGAAACCTGAATCTGATTAAACCACTCTAGGTCCCTAGTAAGGACAACAGAGTATACTCAAAGATGTGGATGTTACTCTAGACCAAAAGAATGCAATCAGCAAAATCCAGAATATGGAATAGTATATGTGACAAAGCATTCTGGTTATTTAGCAAATAAATTATAAGGAAAAATAGACTGTTTCAATTTTATTTATTTATTTGATTTTTTTTTAATAGAAAGTCAAACTAATGTTTAGGGATTCACACTTAGATAATAAAACTATAATGAAAAATTAAGGAAGTAATTACCAACAGTAAGGATCATGGTTACTTTGTGGGGAGGTGGGCATTGTAATTAGGAGGGAATATATGAAGGACTTCTGGGGTGACCAATAGGACTGATTTTCTTGACACTGATGATTTTTTAAATTTTTATTTATTCATTTTAGTTTTTTTATGAATCTTTTTTTTTTATTTATATATGGTGCTGAGAATTGAACCCAGTGCCTCACACATTGGAGGCAAGTACTTTACCACTGAGCCACAACCCTGGCCCTTGGTGGTTATTTTAAAGATGTTCACCTTATAATAATTCATTAGGTTATATTTTTGCTTTAAGGACTTCTCTGTATTTGTTTCATATTAATGATAAACTTAAATATGAGTACAAGGGTAAATGTTCCTTCCATTTATTTTCCCCATAGGAGAACATAAATATTCAGGAAGAGATAGTTTGATTTTTTTGGTTGATGCCTCCAGGGCCATGTTTGAATCTCAGGGTGAAGATGAATTGACTCCTTTTGATATGAGCATCCAGGTAAGTCTTCCTTTTTTTTTTTTTTTTTTTTT